ATTTTTCTGTGACTTCTATTCTCTGCACATTTCGCACCGTCAAAAGATTGTTCCACGAGTTTGTCAGTATTGCATCGTCGACACTCAACCAAGCATCATGTACAATGCGACAGCAATCCCACATGGATATTTGTTTATGTACGTCTATCATATCTTCCTCCGTGCCGCCAACAGTTATTGGCATAGCTGTTTTCAGTAATTCTATTCGGTACTTTCGCTTGAAACATGATATTATACCACAATTCATTGGTTGACGGAGTGGTGATATGTTCACTGGAAGAGACATAACCGTAACGGAACGATCTAAATCGTGAAGATCATTGAGATTGTGAAGTGACATAGCATTATCGAGTAACAACAAATATTGCTCCCTGGGAGCGTTCTCCCGTTGTCTTTCTTTGACTGATTCTAAGAAAAGGTCTTCGTACCATTCCTTGAAAATGCTACTGTCCATGCAAGCATTTTCTTTTGATTTGTAGATAGTGGAGAATGCTTCTGTATCGTAATTGTATAAAGCATGAACATCCGGTTCGGTACCGATTACTAGTACCGGCAACTTGCGACATCCGGTAGCATTTACACAAAAAAGTGCAGTAACGTAATCTTCGCACATTTCCAGGTTTCCTGTCGATTTCGCACGGTCCATAATACAAGTTCTTTCTGGTACTATTTTCCACATTATTGTTGTGTAAACGACATTGTAAACGTTCTTCAATGCGATCTGACGTTCATGCAGTAATCTGTTAAAGTCAACTGTAAAGGCTTCCGCTGCAGCGCTTTCAGTATCGAATGGAACAGCTTTTCTGATATCCGCATTAGTAATATTGAAACGTTCTTTAAAGCCTAGGATCCAAGGGCGACCGGCTCTAAAACTAGGATATCCGTGTAATTTCATATTAATTTCTAGAGCTCTTCCCTGTAGGTCTGCTTCTGTGATTTGTACGTTTCTTTCCTTACATCGTAAATACCATTGGTGAATAACTCTATCTACATCAACTGTACGTCGTATTAAACGTTTTGTGTCACGGCTAAGTTCCTTACTGCTTTCGAATTGTTTTTTAATCCTTTCGCTTTGTGCATATATACGCTTCAAGGTGGTTTGTGAAATACCGTACTTTTCCATTGCAGATTGTCGAGATTCACATCTTTTTCTCATCTCAAGAATATCGTATTTTTCGGCAATTGTCAAATGTATCGATTTTCGTTTTGACGTCATTATTGTTTGAAACGTTTCGACTGTAAATACCGCACTGAAATGTTGAGAAGAGATTTTATTTCGACAGTTGTTGTCGTCGACAATTTTGATAGGGGGAAATAAATACTATGTGTATTAAACATGTATATAGGTATATAGGTATGTACGTATATACGTATATGAAATACACAATAGAGAATTATACAATATTCTGATGTTAGAACGTTTGGATGATGTATGTACGGAATGTATAATCGAAGTTACGCCGTATATGAAGATAACAAATAATATTCGACCGAGAGGTGACATTAAGCAGGCAGCACGAAAATAAGAATTTAGTATGAGAGTATTATGAGAATAAGAATAATTTTAATGCAAACAGTTTATAAGTCAATGGTTTTCTCTAACTGAATTTATACTTCTGTCCATCCTATAAACGGTATACTTTTTAAGAAGACTAAAAATTCATGGATTCTACGAATATTACAAACGTTCTTTTTATGGATTTATTCATCGAACATTTTCACGTAATTTTGAAAAGGAAAAAATAATAACTTTAACTACGAAGATAAACGACTTAAAAATGAATTGTAATTTTGTCATCGTGCTTTATTGTTAATATCGAGCAATTTGAATACAGAGTCTTTTTCTGTAGAAAATTCGACGTAGAACATATTTGTGAAATATGAATTCGTCGAACAAAGAGTTTCGTACTTTTCACATAAAATGATTATTACTAGTGTTAGTTTGATTCATTTTAGACGTTTGATCCATCTTCTTCTCGTGGACAGTTCTGTCTGAACAGCCGAGCTAAACGGACGTGTAAAACTGCTTCGCCGAAAGTGCGGCAAGTGGCGAAATGGAAGATACGAACGTCAACGCTCATCGCCAAATGGTGGAAATCCGTGTCTTCTACTAAAAAGACTATTATCACATCTAAAATGCAAAGTCACATTCCACTGATAAAAATAATTAGTAAAGACGAAACATACTACATAAACAAAACAACAAACATTTCAAATCCAAGCCAATTAATAAACGAAGAACAGGAATGCTCAGCTACAAACGAAGTTGAAATGGAACCAATAGAAAAGAATGAAGAGAATAAAACCAGTATCGAACTAACCTACCAGGATGAAAGATGGAAGGTGGCAAGTTATAACAAAAAGCGGAAAATAGCACCAAACACAAACGTTAGGAAAGATATAGAAGCAGAAAAAAAAACAATGGCTGCAAGAAATCACACTCCGAACCTCCTTCAGCGCACTGCCAGAGAAGAAAGAAACCGTTGTCAGCAGTATATGTACCACCGCGACACAAAATGACAACA